GCGTCCAAGGGCGCGTCCTTTTTCCTGCGGGTTTCTGCGCCCCCCAGGGGGGGGAGGGAAGGCGGCTTTGCGCCCCCGCGCAGGGGATCGGGACCAAGAGGAAACCCACCCACCCACCGACTAAAGCGGATCGGAAAAAGGGGGGAATCCATAAGCCCCTTTCGCCCTCCCAAAAGCGGCGGGGGGTGGGTGGATTTGCTCAAAGAACTAAAAACCACTGCAACCAACAGAGAGCTACTCAGACGGAGAGAATGTTCGTTCCCAGCCAGCAATGAACAGGGAAAGGGAGGGCTGCCACCTAGCGAACAAAGCAAAGTGTAGGAGAGGCCGAGGATCCCGATCCCGCCTCCCTTGCCAAGCACGTCCCCGCTGCGCTGCTCCGTCGGGGGGGGAGGGTCATGGGATGGGGCGCGGGAGACCCTCCGAGGACCCCCCCCAACCCACCCCGAGCCCACTCGGTCGGCTTCCTCGCTTGCCCGGCAGCCCAGCGGAGCTGGAACGCCGCGTTCGGGCGCAAGCCCCGGGGGGGGGCTCTACCTGCGCGCGATCCTAAGGCGGCGGCCCGTTCCACCGCGATCCCTTCGCAAGCTCACCTCCGGGCTGGCAAGCAGGCAGGATCCCAGCCCCGCACAGGACGAGGGGAGGGCGCCGAGGGTCCGCCCCCCCGCCCTCTTTTTATAGGCGGCCATTGGCCAGGGCGCCCGCCCGTCCGCCCTCAAAGCCCGCCTCCGGGCTGCTTTGCCCTCGCCGCTGGACCGGGAAGGGTCCCCGCCCCGAAGGGAAGGCAAGGGAAGGGAAGGGAGGGGAGGAGAGGAGAGAAGCCGAGACAAGCTAGGATCGGGGGCAGAGGGAACCCCCGGGAGGCCCGTTCGACGGGGAAGGAGGGAGGGAGGGAGGGAGGCGATCGCCCGGGCAAAGCCGGGACGAGCCGGGAAGTCGGAAGAATTTGGCCCTCTGGGAGGAGGAGACTCGGAGGATCGCGGGCAGGAAGGGATCCTCCACCACCACCACCCCGAAAGCAGGGCGCAGCAAGAGGAGGAAGAGGCCTTGGCCAAGTTACTTTAGGGGAGAGTAACTTTTGGTGGAGGAGAGGGGGGGAAGGAGGGGAGCGGAAGAGGGACCGGGTTTCGGTTTTCTTCGGTTTTTCTACCCCCGATTGTCCACGTCTCTCTTGGGGACTACAAATACCAGCCTCCCCAGTCAACATGTGTAGACCAGAATCCCCAGTTCGTTCATGACCTTTTTGCCCTCTCGCCTCCGGAATCCCTCAGTCTGTGCCTTTTTGGAGCAGCCCCCACCCCACCCCCTAGCCCGTTCCTTTTAAAGTTGCAAACTTTAAAGTTAGTTTCCTGCAGAATCTTCAAACAGCTGGTTTTTGTGTAACTTCCTCAAACTCACAGGCGGTTCGTATTGAGGACAACAGGGCCCATTTTTAGGGACAATGATAGAAGCCTTTGGGAGTTGGATTCCAAAAAAAGTAACTTTGCGAAAGTCCAGTTGCAAGGGCTTCTGAGCCCAGCACCATGTTTTATATCTTAACATGTGTGTCTGGGATCCAACAGGTACAGCTCAGTGTCCTTAGGATGGGGAGCGCTGTGCCTGTTCCGGGAAGGCTCTCGGCTTGGTGGCTGAGCCCACCCCCCCTCCAGGCAATCACCCCTGGCATCAGAGAAAAATAAAATTAAATTAAAGACCCTCTCAGACGTCTCCCCCTGGAGAGCCATGGAGAGTCAGAGCAGTGTATGCTGGCTTAAGTTAGTTGTGCTGCCCCAGTGTAAGGGAGTTCCATCTGCTCGGTGTCCTGTGGCGCTTTGGCATGCTGAGATCCTGCCAGGGTCAAGAGGGAAAGAGGACCAAGTGGTCCACAAAGCAGGATGCAAAGGGAAAACAGCTAAGCAGAGATTTTAGAGGCCTCCTCTGGAGTCCCATGGAGAGTCAGAGCAGTCCGTGCTGGCTTAATTTAGTTGTGCTGCCCCAGTGTAAGGGAGTTCCATCTGCTCGGTTTCCTGTGGCGCTTTGGCATGCTGAGATCCTGCCAGGGTCAAGAGGGAAAGAGGACCAAGCGGTCCACAAAGCAGGATGCAAAGGAAAAATGGCTGAGCAGAGACTTGAGAGGCCCCCTCTGGAGTCCCTGCGTCCAGTTCTGGGCACTGCACTTCAAGAAGGATGCTGACAAATTGGAACAAGTTCGGAGGAGAACAACAGGGATGGTCGGGTGAATGGAGGACCCCGGGAGGAAAGACAGAAAGGACTGGGCCTGTTTAGCCTTGAGAAAAGAAGACAGAGGGGAGGGAAGGCAGCACTTTTCAAAGACTTGAAAGGTTGTCATCCAGATGAGGGGCAGGATCTGTTCTCAGTCACCCCAGAGTGCAGGACACGCAACAGGGGGCTCAAATTACATGATGCCATGTTTAGGCTGAATCTCGGGGGGAAACAACTGTTAGAGCAGTACAACAATGGAACCAGTGACCTCAAGAAATGGTGAGCACTCCAAGCCTGGAGGCCTTCAAGAGAAACTTAAGACACCCCCCTGGAACATCTCCTTTGATTCGTGTTCCTACCTTGAGCAGGGGGTTGGATTGGATGGCCTTACAGGCCCCTTCCAACCCCATGATTTTGTGTTTCTGTAATGCCTCATTGAACAGAACACTGATGTTAGCGTGCTCTAAAGCCACGGTCCCCGGCCTTTTTAGCCCTGCGGACCGTCTGGGGAAGGCGAGGCATTCCCCCCCCTGCACGCGTGCATGTGTGAAGGAGTGTTCTCTCTTGCATGGGCATGCACACTCATGCACATGCGCGAAGAAGTGGGGGGCACTCGTACAAGCACACACATGCTCGTGTGCATGTGGATTTTGTGTTTCTGTAATGCCTCATTGAAGAGGACACTGATGTTAGTGTGCTCTAAAGCAGCGGTCCTCGGCCTTTGTAGCCCTGCAGACCAGCTGGGGAAGGTGAGGCAACCCCCTGCGTGCATACATGTGTGAAGGAGTGCTCTCTCTCTTGCATGGGCCTGCACACTCATGCGCATGTGCAAAGAAGCAGGGGGCACTCGTACAGGCACACACACGCTCATGCGCATGTGCAAAGAGTGGCACTGTGCTCGTGTGGGTACGCTTGTGCGCAGGCTCAAACAGGCTGTGCAGGGGGGAGTGCGTGCGGGGATGGGGTGGGAGGTCTGTCTCCATGGCCCGGTCCGGCTCAGGCCACAGACGGGCACTGGGCTGCGGACCAGGCGGTTGGGGACCTCTGCTCTAAAGGACGTGCTTTTAGGTGAAAAATTATGGAACAGCATATCCTTACTCTTAATAGGAATCCATTGCCCAGGTGGGCTCTTTTTCCTGCAGACAGGACTGTCTCTTTAGAAGTGAGACATCCTGTTTTATTAGATTCTATACTTTTCTCTTTTGGCTTCTGTCTCTCATTTTCTTTCATCCGTGTAGCTATTCTCAAGCTGACTGGCCAAACAGTGTCTAATCCAAGGGCTCTTGCAGTGTTAGACTTTCTTATTTCCAGTACAGTCATGCCTCGCTTTACAATTGCCCCGCATTATGACAAAACCACAGTACGACAATCTTTTTCGATCGCAATTGCGATCGCAAAACGATGGTCTAAATGGGGTTTTTTCGCTTTGCGATGATCGGTTCCCTGCTTCGGGAACCGATTCTTCGCAAAACAACAATGTTAAAACAGCTGATCGGCGGTTTCAAAATGGCCACCGGGTAAACAAAATGGCTTCCCGCTATTTTCTGGGACGGATTCCTCGCAAGACAGGCAGCGAAAACGGCTGCCCTATGGAGGATCTTCGCTGGACGGGGAGTTTTTACCCCATTGGAACGCATTGAAGGGGTTTCAATGCGTTTCAATGGTTTTTTTCCTTTACAATGTTTTCGCTTAATGGCGATTTTCC